ACACGATCTCGCCTTTGGGATTCTGAGCGTAGCGAGTCTCGTCAGCAGAAGCAGCTGTTTGTCCAGTGAGAAGGTTTTGAGTCATCACGTGCTTCTTGCGCTTGAACTTGTTCAATCGATGGGTTTTGCCCACTGTGTAACGCCGGCTGTAAAGCTTCGTGGTGCTCGGATCCGGCGATTTTCCGCTGGAAATCGATCAATGTGTTCAAAGTAAAATACAATAACACGGCACAATAAATATCTTTACAACGAACTCCAAGTGACCTGACCAAAAATTCTTCACCATGAAAAATTCGTCATAACGAGATCCATGGTTCTTTGGGCGTACAGGAATGAAATTTTGTAGTAAGCGGGTAATAATTCTTTTGAAGCAAATCCACAGCAGATTTCGGAATAAATTCCCACATTTCCAACGTCTTTTGATGAAATAATCAAGAAAATTCAAAATGCGAAATTCAATTCTCTTATATTAATCCTTAACTTTGTTGACTTTTCTAAAATTATACTGATCTTATTAAAGTATAAGCTGGAAAAAAAACAGAAAATACGTGTGTAAGATGAGTATTTATCCACCAAGAACTGGATTTTCCCTGAAGTAGAGGGACCATTTGACACTTTTTTTTTCAAAATAAAAAAGCCATTGATAAATTTTAAAATGAAGATAAATAAATTTTGTTTAGAGCTTCATACTTCCTACAATGCTATAAAAAGTACAGTATTTCTTGACCAAAAAGATTAGCATTTATATTATTTGAAGGTTTCTCAATAAAGCAAAAGTCGGGCTTTCCCCAAAATGTGCCAATTGGTAAAAATGCCATGACCCATTCACACACAATCAAGGCAAAACTTGGTATACTGAGCTTGAAGAGGGAAATTAGTTCATTCCGAAATGTTTACATCATTGTCCCTATTAAGAAACTGCGGAGATCAAGGAAAAAACCCATCATTCATTGCAGAGGAATTTTACAGTGTCACAAACGAACGGAACCACTTCATCGGAAGAGGAAGCTTGTGAAAACAATAACGTTGAAAGAAGAGAACGTATCAAAACAATCACCAGATGTCAGCCTTCGCACTTGAAGGCCCGACCAGAATAAAAGGAATTCTGTCAAGAACCTCGGAATTGAAAATGTACATCAGCCCAAATGCTACAAACCTGAGAACGAAGTATGCATGGATAAACAAGCTCCCATTGTTCCTCACAGCATTNTACACGTACAAGTCCATCATGGTGCCGTTCTGAAACAGGTTGGACGCGGGCTTTAGTCCGACGGATGACGGATTATCGCCTGTTTGTGGGGCCGGACGTCGGAAGAAGTTGGCGATAATGTAGAAGATGACTCCGCGAATGAGCAAGCCTTTCAGCATGCCAAACACGGAGAAGCCGTTTTGTTGCTGCTGCTCGCCTTCGGCCACGCCGGCAGCCGCCGCCGATGTGCCTGGCGCCGCTACGGCGACTTCGTCAGCCATATCTTCCTCTTCGCTATGAATTTACAGCCTAAAAACGAAAATATATTTCAATACTCATCAAAACTTCACAACATACGCTGATCGAAAAAAAAAACAATCACTAAATTAAATCAGTTTCGAGCGTGAACCACGAGTGAACCCAAGTTCCGCAAATACTACTTGTTCCTTACATCACTCAAACTCAGGTTGAAAACGCCAATATGAGTAAATAATTTTTAAAAATATAAAAAATTACTTTTTCGACTCAGCTTACATTAGGTTGCGTTGTACGTGTTTCTACCAAAAATCTGGGCCTGTCAGATTAGATTTGAATTAATCGTATTGAGAAAGTTGATCATAGTTCTGTCTGGTGCGAGGATATGCTGACCTTAACGAACTTCAATAATGCGCATAAAGATTTCATTACTTAATCAATGTGTTAATTCGAAACCCAACTGACAAAAAAATATTGAATCTAACGTTAGATTCACAATAAGAACATTTTATGTTGTAATTGGGTCTTTAGCTTGAAGTTTCGTGGAGAAAATGAAACTAGCTAGATGCGAAATTTGATGAGGAAAAGGTGCAACCCCAAGCTCTAACATTTGATGAATTAGAATACTGAACATCGTTCCTGGAGAAAATATTTTTTTGTAAACCACCGAAAGTACTGTACGGGAAAAGGAAGTTTTCATTCAACGGGATGTTGATCCCTCAACTCACGGATCGGAGCACAATTTATTTTCTTGAAAATCGTAACGTTAAATAACTGAAGTAAAATTTGCCTTGAACTGCTTCTGTTTTATTAATTTTGATTCTCGAACGGGAAGAACTGTAATAGAAGAGAAAATCCGAAAAGTCGAACAGTTTAAAACTTGGGATCGTTTCGTTGTCATCAAACTGGGGATTCCACATGTTCGAAAGAGAGTTTAATCACCTTAATTCAAGATTTCTTTTATAGCTGTCCTTCAACTAGGATTTACTCAGATTCGATGTCCGAAATAACGCGTACGTTCGTCACATCCAAAATTTGACCTTAACATGCACATCGTGAAGCGTGAATTTAGGAAAAATTACAGTTGAAAAAGTAAAAGAATTATTGAGAAGACAGGAGAGGTTCACAAATGAGTGCTGAAATCCATAAACTTACCTCAGATCGGAAGAACTGGACGCAGTTTCACAGGCCGACGGATTAACCCCAGAATAATTCGCACTTACAAAATACAATTCCCACCGGTCGGACAAAAAAAATGATCTCATCAAAAACCGCCGAAAGTTTCCTTCCCACTCTCCTGTAAAGGAATGACACAAATTTGATTTATAAGAACATTTTCACGATAAAGTTTAGAACATCACAACGTCTCGTCTCCTTCGAAGACAAGAAAAAGCCAGCGTAGATCACGAAAACGAATGTTCGCGTGAGCATTCGCACTGATATCCAATGAGATTCACCGGGACACAATTCAGGCGACATCTATGCAGCGGAGAAAAATCGCGGACACGTGGCATCCGACAGGAAAGGAGCCCAATAACCCTCACTAAGAACGTTAAATTCACCCATTGAACTGATGGCGAATATCAAGTGGGGACCCAAAATGCGGACCATTCGACTTCGGGACACTTACCTAACCGGATTTCGGCATGGTCCGACATCCGGACCATGCACCAACACCAGATCCAAACACTTACCCACCATTTCTACACAAATGCAAAAATTTTCTTTCTTCTAAATTTTGGTATCTCTTGAACAAATTGCATTTTATAATTTATATAATTCTTTTGCTTTTTTGGCTCATTTGTGTGCCAAAAGATCAAGTTATTTACGGTTTTCTTCTCTGCTGTTATTCTTTGGATCTTTAAGGTGGGAAAGATGATTTCGTTCCATTTTTTGGAGGATTTTTTCAAAATGATCGATCAAAAAAGAACCAATGAAATATGTTTCCATTGAAGTTTGAGGGAAAACGTGATCAGATATGCAGAAGTTTTGACAAAGGGACAGAGTCCAAGCATAGATTACATCTGCATCTCAAGGTCCCACCTCAACTATTTCCAAGTGCTAAATTTATGCTTCAACTTTAGGAGAGCAATGGAAAACAAAAGCACTCATTTCAGCAGAGAAAAATCCCACACAACACCAAGACCACTTTTGCACAACACCCACAAACACTTCAATCGAATTGACCACTTCCCACATTCATTTCAAAGTCACGAATCCCAGCGACGGAAAAGGCCACGTTTCACTGTCTTCACTCAGCAGTTCTGTGACTCACAATAAGCCACGTGGACGTCGACAATACATTTCCTCATTCCTGCAACAATTCGTTTTTCTTAAATCTGAACAATCCGCTGGAGATCACAAGACACGTGATATTGATAGAGATGATCTGTTTGATTCGGATAGAGTGAAAATTTTATTATTTGTCAAAAAGATCGTCTCTGGCCAACTTCCTTGTGGGTTCGCCTTCTGACAGTGCAGTAGACGTGGGAGATGAGAATGATAATGACTTTGTACAGTACCAGAAACGTACAAGCCCAAAAACAAATCTGAGGAAAATGCAAAGGAGATGTGAAACACACAAAATTAAAAGGTAAGATATTTTTTCTTCAATTTTGATGAAACGTAGAAAGGGGCATTTTTTCAACTTTGAAAGTTTCTAAAAAGATTATGAATGAATTCTGAAGATGGGCTTCACTCATAATTCACCTCCCAACTTGAACGGTTTTCTCAATTTTCAGATTTTGGCAAGCAGATTTCAAAAAACAAGTAAAAATCGTAGACACACTTGGTTACAGCGGAATCTCAGAAAATGGTATTTTCACTGGCTCCACTGTTGAAGCACTAAAAAGGGAACCCTTCTCCACGCGTTCATTTTCACCACAACTGCAAATCTAACATTCACAGAAGACAACCACAAGATGTTCAACGTACTCACGCAAACTTTTGGCCCTGGTCGGCTGAAAAAAATGTAGCAGTGATAGTGAGTTTTCTTACATCATTGATGGCGACAGGAGGGAGGTTTTCAAAAAGGCGGTTTTTGAAAAGTTAGATCCTTTGAAGAACAATGAGCCACCTTTTTTATTTTTCTGGATCTGCATCACACAGAAGATGATCATCGGGAATCTCTTGGAAAACCTCTGGAGCTAGAAAATCTATTCCTTTTACCATTGTCCGATTCTGGAACTCGGTTTGGCCAATCACCAACACTGACAGAATAATTTAAAAAAACGGTAAAGTTACACAGCAATCAAAGGCTATCAAGAATGATCTTTTGTCAGAGAACAGAGATTCACTGACCAACTACACTGACCTAATTTTCCCCTATTGTCAAAATTTCCGAAGAAATCATGAAATTACAAAGAAAACTGATCCAGGATTCTGTTTTGAAAATCATGTCCCAAAAGTTACTCTGTGGAAATAAATTGTCAATTCATCAGACAGGTTTTCTATGTACATGTACTTTATTTATATCAATAATGACAGCCTGTCACTGACAGTTTTGATTCCTTCTTTTCACTCTAAACAAATGTCCACTAGTTTATTAGATCTTCCTGGAGAGAATGAAAACTGTTATACAGCAGTATCATCAAAGGTTTACAGGGTATTGAAAATATTTCTTGGACAAGTATTCCGTCCCATGTTTTCAAGCAAGAAAAGAGCTGCATTTCACAATGCACTGTAAC